GACATAGGACCTTGTCACATTGTTGATACATCTCAAAGCACTTCACAGAATATACTGAATTGATTGTATATCTTGTGGACGAAACACGGCAGCCAATTGCGATTAGCAGCGTCCCACAAACCGTCATGGATTGAGTGATCAAATTATTATTATTATATATCTTTTGAGGGATTATTATCCCCAGTTAGCAATCCACCAATCGACTAACAACAACAGCTTGCATTTATACAGCGTCCTTCACGCGGAGTTGAGTCCCAGAACGCTTCAACAACCGGGTTCCTCCTTAATGCTAGGTAAACAAGAGACATGTGGAGTAAGGAAACATGCCTAAGGTTTTGCCTTGCCTGGAAATCCTGCGAGGCAAGTGCTCTAACCAATATGCTACAGGACTTCCACTGATGACTTATATCGTTGATCACAATGTTACTGTATTGTAGTGTGTTTGATGAGTAGGAAAGAATTTCCATTTGCGTAACATCATATCTCATTGAAATGCCTCAAAACATTTCACGTGCAATTACTGTGAAACTAAAAGAGACAGGCCTTTGTGCCAGCAAGGTCCCCCAAAATGCCGTAAGGTGAATAACCGATTTATCTGTAGGATCGTTGTCCTGGACATCAGGAAAAACTCCATTCCGTTTTGAATAGTGCCATGGGATCTTTTTATATCTACTTGAAGAGGCAGACAGAGCCTAGTTTAACTCCTCGTCTGAAAATTATATCTTTGATGATGAAGTTCTACTCACACAGAACTGTTAGACTTTTCATTTTAAAATGTCCCACGTGGTGATTCCTATTTGTGGTAATTATTCCACCACATATATTTGCTTATTCACCACGTATACTTACTTATGACAGAGAGAATATTCCCCAAATACAACATACAGTTCTTACCTATTGTGTTCTCAGACTGACTTATTGATATAAGTAACACTAACAAAGAACCTAATATGTATTATGGATTTTTGACTCAATGGCCGAAATTCAGAAAATGTCTACATTTGTAAGTGAGGAAACAAAACAGCTGAAGCGTTCATGACAGTTCTGGGGGTATCATTGGGTCGCAGTACGCATGAGCACAGAAAGCCAGCCCTCAAGCTGTTCTTGCTAACATCATCTAATCCACTTGTGCTATTTTCTCAACAAATTAATTTTGCCAGCCTCACGATGCACAACCACAATATACACAGTCAATCCACTTAACATATATCCGGTGAAGCACTTTGAGATGGCTCGACAATGTGATATCAAATGCAAGGATTTTTATTATTTATTATTACTAACAGGATTTTCAGGCTTCAATGTTACAAAATGTCAGGATTCATTGCCATCTGCTTTATAAGTGAGCCAGTGTTACATCAAAGGATGTTATATCAGCGTTCCCCTGTATAAAGTAAGAATTTACTAATCAGATATCATAAATCATGAGAATAACATCCAAATATGGATATTTTTTATATTAAATTCTAAATAAGCTGCACCACTTATTTGTTCAATATATAAACTATATATACTTTGATGTCATTAAAATAACATTTCTAATGAGTTAAACTGGTGAGTCACTAAAGTGTAGAGACTACTGGTGGCTGTACACCTTTGTTATATGTTTTGATGGTGGCTACACACATGGCTTCTGGCCTTTTGGATGAGATCTTAAACCAAGGTCACATCTGCTTGTCCAGGTGGACTTTAAAGATCCCATGGCACTATTTGAAAAGAGAAGATGTCGTGGTGCCTCGCCAACAATTCCTCAAATAAAATTGGTCACTCCCTCCATGGCTGTTTGTGGGACATTGCTGTGTGAAAATTGGCTGTGCCCTCCCACATCACTTCACAGTGTATCCTGTAATGTATTATTATTTTTATCGGAGTCTTCTGTACTCCAAATGGTCTTGACTCATGTATGGAAAATATTAGCAACATACCATAGAGGTGTTATTTCATACTCAAGACAATTTCCTATTTGCAGACATTGAAGGACAGATAATGTCATATAATACATTCATAAGTGGTAGAAATAAAAGGAACTGAATGGTTAAAATCGAATCAGAAATTCTGGTAATAAAAACAGGTCCATCAGCATCTGAAAGGGAAGTATAGGGTAACATTTCAGGTTAGGCTTTTCATAAGAAATTGAATCTTGGATTGAGTTGGGTTGGAGTAAAATAAAAAACATTTTTTAGATAGGAGTTACAAATTTAAAACATTAACTGCACACATGATTAATTTGCACATTTTCAAGTGCAGGGACAAGGAATTAAAATGATTTACATGATACAAAGATATTCTAGGATAGGCGTGAAATATGCAATGGTGATGCCCTTTTTATACTTTTACAAACAGATTATATCGATTACAGCAGTGCAGACCTAACGTGAACCCCGATGTATACAGCATGCTCTGAATCCTCACTGGAATCGAAGAGAACACTGTGTATGCACCAAATAATCACATGCGCAGAGTTTCACAAAACAGCGGTGATCGTTAGTTGGCCTCGCTCAGGGCGTATGGGCCGCATGACAACTTATAACATATGTGTTTAAAAGTTCTTTGGAATTGGCTGCATTACAAAACCAGATTTATACTACAGCCATGGCATCGGTTCAATTCCTGAAACCAACTGACGTGAAAACGGCAATGAATCAACATTAACTACGCTGTATAAATCAGAGAACTCAAAATCATAGTCATGCTCAACGTTTGGCAGACAACATCTTGAAAGGAAGGGCATGACGAAGGGTGTAGTTGCATCTATCCTCCACTGAATCGTTGGAGGATCAACTCACAATGGCCTTCATCACCCCTCCACACTCGACGACAAAATGTTGGGTTACATTATTTCTTGCATTGAGAGCGCTCTTACTGACTATTACCCAGACTGGTGAATGAATAATTTACCTATTGCTTGTATTCGTGATATCAATGAATTATTTCTTAACCATTTTCCTAGTTCTTTTGTTGGTTGACGCAGTGTTCAGTTTTTCAACCTCCTTTCCAATATAATTTCAGTATTAATTAGTTTCAGCTACAATTTTAAGTTTCACGTACTTGTGAACCTTTCCATGAAATGTGTTACAGTCCAGCAACACATTTTGAAGCATCTGTTATTCTCCTGCATGTTTTGGGCCTCCTTCCTCTACATACATCCATTTAAGAGCTTCATGTGCCAAAACAATTGTAAGAGCAGAAACATTTTAAAGACTTCACAGTCATGCCAGACACACTTCTCGTGTAAACATAAGCATAATCACAAGGATGTGACTTTAACTTTTGCTTCCTTCATCCCAAGTGTGCAGTACAAGCACACTATGAACAGTTTGATTATCCATATTGATAGTGAAGTAATCATCTTTCTTTCTCTATTATTTCTTCAACTATTTCAATTTATGGATGTGAACAATATTTGTTAAAAGTTTTAGACATGGGACAGCAGGGTTACCAATTAACCTAGAGAAATGTATCCACTCTCCTAATGGCCCGAGTTCTCAATGTAACTTGGTTGTGGAGAGGGTCTCAGATTTGATGGTGAAAATCGTTGACTTTAAAATGGTCTCCACAAATCTTTCATTGGATTTCCATATTGGACATTGACTTTATATCTTTAACCTTGCTAAATCTGGTGTATTATTATAAGTTAGCAGATTGTTGCAAATGTGATTTCCATGATCTTTATGAGCCTCATGTTTGTTGTAGTGTAACTCTCATTTTGTAAAAGGAACCTTGGTATCTGTTTCTTGGTCCTAATACTTTCTTTAGTAATTTCCATTCAAACATTTTTGGATTTCACATTAACTAAGAATTATTATTGTATTGAATTGGTGGACTCAGAGAAACTTAACCCAGTAACTACTTGGAGGAATTTACAAGGTTACAAAAGAGATGCATAATGGAGAAGGCCTTGATACTTCCTTCCAGAATGCCCACCGTCCTGCTATTAAGCTGTTTTTTGAAATGAGTCTCTTTATCCCATTGGACAATTCTGCATTGAAATTTTAAAGACAAAGATAAATCACTTGCCAAACTGTGTTCCAAATTGGATTGAGAAACAAATATCTGCCATCATATCAAAAACATTGTTGCAAAATAATAGCTTGAGCTTCCTTAAACAAAAGACAACAAAAAACAATCTGTGGCTGGATTATAATAACAATAATCCTTCCATTTGATATAGTGCCTTTCACATTGGGAGGACGTCTCAAAGCATTCAAAGGATTTCTCTGTAAAGTGTATTTTCTGTAGCCAATTTGCACTCAGCAATGTCTCACAGCCGGAAAGAGAATGCCCAGTTTTATCTAGGGGATTGTTGGACAGCATACTGGGAGAAATTCCCTTCTCCTTTTGAATAGCGCCACAGGAACTTTAAAGTCGACCAGAACAGACATATAGGTCCTTGGGTTAACATCTTATTCAAAGGAAAGAACTTCCAGCAACACATCCCTCCTCCAACACTGTATTGGAGTACTTGTCTAGATTGTGATCTCACAGTCCCGACGTGGGAATTGAACCTACAACCTTCTGACTCAGGAGTGCTACTAACTGAGCTGGGCTGACACCTAAACACTCTGTGGACAAGATCCACATCCACGTGAATGTTTATGAAATGTTCACTCCCATGCTTTTTGATGCTTCCGATAAAACATCTCAATCACAAAATGATTTGTATTTGCATTTTTGTTTGTATACAAAATACAGTCACTACATTTTACAGTATATCCTGTGAAGTGCTATGAGGCATCTGGTATAAAAGATGCTAAACAAATTCAAGAATGAGACAATATAGTACATATATTGTATTCTCAAGGAAATAGCAATTTTTTTTCCTTAAGAGCAGGTATGATAATGATTTATTTTTGCAAATCTCCAGTATTATGTATCTTTATCCCTTTTCTATTATGACCCAATTTTTCTATGTCTTCTGTTTCTTGTATTCTCTTTCCTTATTTCTTTGTCCCTACATGTCACCAATTCTCNTTTTTTACCTGACGTTTTACCATTCACAGCTGCTGTTGGGCTTGATGGATTCCACAGATGAAGCTCTACAGGAAGCAGCGGCCGGTTGTATCTCAAACATTCGAAGGCTTGCCCTGGCTAATGAGAAGGCCCGATACAAATGAAAACAGTGCACATTCCACGTTTTATTTCTCAGGAGCGATTACCTGAGCAGGTACAATAAAAGAAAGATTTACTGAGTACTGCTGCTGGACGCACATGAAAGACATTCTGTGTAAACTAAAATAAACCAGATGTTTAATGGAAATACAAAAGCCGCTTCTGATTTCCTAAAAATCTCAGAGTCGAGTTAATTCTGGAATCGTTCTACAGCAATATTAAAATAAAATAAAATAAATATAAAATAAATGCATGTCCTTTGATTTTTTTTATGTTTAAGATTTTGATTGATTGAAATTCAAAAAAAATTGTTAGCAGCTCCCTCTTAAAGGCTGATCTGCAAACCTGTTTACACCAATAGATCTGATTTTATTGAAACACAAGCCGTCATTTCCTTTGTTGTGTGTAGCTATGTAGTAATTTGAAGCTGAGTTATCCAATTCCTTTAATACAAAAGCAATATAATCATGCTGTTGCAAGCCTTTCTTCTGTTTCATAAGTTGTAATCCACAGGAGAAGTTGAATACAGAAGCAACAATTTCACATCTGGTATTGCGTTACTGAAACTGAGAACTCCAAACAGCTGCAGGATTCACTGCTCAGCAAACAGTTAGTGCATCAAATCCAACCCTGCAAGATTGTTTTTTAACATTACATGAGTCTGGCTGCCAACATGCTAACTAAATTCTTCTTAATTATGTCTGCAATCTTTGCATGTTGAAAAACATCAGGTGCCAGTTACTGGAAAATAGATTTTCCAAATTATTGCAGTACAGTGGAATTGTGATAGCTTTTAAAATGGTAACAAAACTTGATATGTAATCTGGAATTTACTTTATTGTGGATACTTTTGCAATATCAGAAAGGTATGAAGGTTCTGAAGGCGTTAGTGAGTGACTTGTGACAAGTTTCCCATTGCAATTTGCTTAGTTTAAGCTTCCTCAGTATTTTGTGGTGCCACATTTCCTCCTCCAGTCAGAGGGGAGATATAGCCTTCTCATCTGCCATCATCATTGCTCTGTGATCAGCTGTCAGAGATGTGAACCAGGTTTAGATCTGCAAGTTCTTCTTTTTCCCATTGCCAAGATGGACCACTCTGTTCCTATAAAGTATTTTTTATTTCTTGAGACTCAGCCAGGAATTGGTTTAATTCACCCATTGAGAGCAAGTACTTTTAAACAACGATAGTTGAGGCTGGGGCTCAAACATGTGCCCTGTCAATGGGAGGCTATTGCATTGCCAAAGCTGCCAAGCTACCAGACTGCAGTCATTTTATTGAATTGTCTGGCGCTAACTAAATAAAAACGCTCTTATTGGGGTGTGCCCATATGAACAGAACATGTTTCAAATAATTATATTAAGTATGTTCCAATTAGTAAAACAGAGCTTGGAATGGGGAACCTAATAGACAGCTTGTTCGATGTAAAATTTAAGTTACATTTTGGACTTCCATTGCCTCTAATTATACATTTGTATTTCTGAACAAAATATCTTTCTGTCTGTGGCCATTAAAATTGCTGTGAACAACTGTAAAACAAATTCTTTGTATTTAACCACTGTGCGCTTTCCTTTTCTGTACGGTTGCAGTGAAACTCTACAGTTGATGCATGTGGTTTGTGACATAATACTGGGGGTTTGATTTATGACTTACTAGCAAAACTACCACATCTAACATTAAATTGGAAGAATATTGTTCTTTGGCTGCCTTTGTAAAATGAATGATTTTGATGTAGATAGTCCTGTATTTCTAATATGTCATTAAAGATTCCAGATTAGGTATAAAACTTGCATCCTAATTCAATTCTTAATTATGTTGTACATGATGTTTCAGACTCTGCACATTCATTTTAAATTCAGTGCCAGTTATTCAGAAAACTATGGTTTTAACTGCAATACATTCATGCAAATCTGTTATAATTACAAGCAAAATCTATTTATAATAATAATCCTTGCATTTGATATAACACCTTATCACGTCTTCTAGACATCTCAAAGCGCTTCACAGAATATACTGTAAAGTGAATTGACTGTATATTTGTGGGCGAAACTCTGCAGCTAATTGCGCAAACAGTCATGGATTGAAGTGACCAATTTATTATTATTATTATTTTTGGAAGGAATTATTTTCCCCGGAAAAGCGATTCACCAATCGACTAACAACTGGGTTCCTACTTACTGCTAGGTAAACAGAGGCATGTGGAGTAAGGAAACTTGCCCAACATTTTGCCCTGCCGGGAATCAAACCCAGGTCTCGCTTGCGAGGCGAAAAGAAAATTAGCAAAGAATTTTTAAGGAACTTATCTAGACTCGATTTGTTTCTGACACAGTCATTCGTATCATGTAACACTTTTTGTCTTCTGACTCACGACACAAACAAGATACTGTACTATGATCTTGTTCTATGTACAAGATCCTTATGATCTTTCTAATAGGCAACGAAAGTATAATTATCTGCATGGTTTGAAAAATGTATAATTTTTAAGTTATGCTGGCTAAAAGAGTGGTGCGGAGAGCAGGAATTCCAATTCATGGGCCACTGGCACGAGTATTGGGGAAGATGGGAGCTTTTCCAAAGGAATGGGCTCCACCTAGCCAGGACAAATGTCAAGGACAAATGTCCTGGCTACGCGAATAAATAGGGAGGTAGAAAGGGCTTCAAACTACTAAGGGGGGGAGGTAAAAACATAGTAAAGTATAGTCCACCACAGTTAAACTTGAGATCAACAAAAGCAAGAGAGCAGATTAACAAGGGAGAAGAGCAAAGTGTGTCAAGCAGGGAAAGGAAGTACAGTGATAGAGTGCTGGTGAATAGGGTTAATAGCCGGAAGTCAGAATTAAGGGCACTATATCTGAATGCACGAAGCATTCGTAACAAGATAGATGAATTAGTTGCACAAATAGAGACAAACCGGTATGATCTAGTAGCCATCACCGAGACAGGGTGATCAGGGATGGGAACTGAATATTCCTGGGTACGTGGTATATAGGAAAGATAGGCGATGTGGTAAACGAGGAGGGGGAGTGGCCCTGCTAATAAAGGATGGGATAAAAACAGTAGAGAGGAAAGATTTTAAATCTGAAAAGCAAGATGTAGAGTCAGTATGGGTAGAGATACGTAACTTCAAGGGGCAGAAAACTATAGTGGGAGTAGTTTATAGACCCCCAAACAGTGGTCAAAGTATCGCTCAAGGTATAAATCAAGAGATTAGTGGAGCATGTAGCAAAGGAAAGACACTAATTGTGGGTGATTTTAACCTGCACATAGACTGGGACAACCAAATTGGGAAAGGTAACATAGAAGAGGAGTTTATAGAATGTATTAGAGATAATTTTCTAGATCAATATGCTGAGGAGCCGACCAGGGAACAAGCCATATTAGACCTTGTTTTGTGTAATGAAACAGGGCTGATCAGCAAACTGGAACTTAAGGCTCCTCTAGGGCAAAGCGATCATAATATGATGGAATTTAGCGTTAAGTTAGAGAGGGAAGTAGTTAAGTCTGAAGCAAAAGTCTTCAATTTAAATCGAGCCAACTTTGCTGGTATGAGAGAGGATTTAGCCAGAATAAACTGGGAGACTAAACTTAAAGATTTGACGGTAGACCAGCAATGGCAGACATTCAAGGAGATAGTGCAAAATTCCCAACGAGCACATATTCCTTTGAGGAATAAGAATGCCATGGGAAAGGTGGTGCAGCCATGGCTAACTAGAGCAGTTAGGGAAAGTATCAAATCAAAAGAAAAAGCCTATAAAACAGCGAAGATGAGTAGTAAACCCGAGGATTGGGAGAACTTTAGGGAACAACAGAGGAGGACCAAAAAATTGATCAAGAGGGAGAAAATAGATTACGAGGGCAAACTAGCAAAGAACATAAAAACAGACTCCAAGAGTTTTTACAAATATATAAAGAGGAAAAGGCTAGCGAGGGTGAATGTGGGTCCATTACAGGCAGAGACCGGAGGAATTATAATAGGGGACAAAGACATGGCAGAGTCATTAAACAAGTATTTTTCTACAGTCTTCACCGTAGAAGACACTGGAAACATACCAAAAATAGAGGACCAAGAAGACAATGTTAGCGAGCAACTTAGGGAGATTAACATTAGTAAAGAGATGGTTCTAGGTAAATTGTCGGGTCTTAAAACCGATAAATCCCCTGGACCGGATGGCCTGCATCCGAGAGTTTTAAAGGAGGTGGCTACTGAGATAGTGGATGGCATGTCTATAATCTTCCAAAAGTCTGTGGATACTGGAAAAGTTCCCATTGATTGGAAGATTGCAAACGTAACTCCACTATTTAAGAAGGGTGGGAGAGAAAATAGGGAAAACTATAGACCAGTTAGTTTGACGTCAGTTGTAGGGAAAATTCTTGAGTCCTTAATAAAAGACGTAGTTATGGGATACCTGGAAGACCATAAAAAGATTAGGCAGAGTCAACATGGCTTTACAAAAGGGAAGTCATGCTTGACTAACCTTTTAGAATTTTTTGAGGATGTATCCAGCAGGTTGGATAAGGGGGAACCAGTAGATGTGGTATATTTGGATTTTAGGAAGGCATTTGACAAGGTGCCACACAAAAGGCTGTTACTCAAGATCAAGGCCCACGGGATTAATGGGAAAATATTAACATGGATAGAAGAGTGGCTATCGGGTAGAAAGCAGAGAGTAGTGATAAACGGATCATTCTCGAATTGGCAGGATGTAACTAGTGGAGTGCCACAAGGATCAGTGCTTGGGCCTCAGCTATTTACCATTTACATCAATGATCTGGACGAGGACATTGAATGTAATGTGTCTAAATTCGCGGATGATACTAAACTAGGTAGCAGAGTGAGCTCTCAGGATGATGCAAAAAGATTGCAACAAGATATAGATAGGCGGGGAGTGGGCAAGTAGGTGGCAGATGGAATTCAATGTTAGCAAGTGTGAAATTATTCACCTTGGTAGCAAGAATAAAAGAACAGATTATTTTCTGGAAGGGGAGAAGTTAGATAGTGTTAGTATTCAAAGGGATTTGGGTGTCCTTGTACACCAGTCCCAAAAAGTTAGTTTGCAGGTGCAGCAAGCAACTAAGAAGGCGAACGGCATGTTAGCGTTCATTTCGAAAGGTTTAGAATATAAGAGTAGGGAAGTCTTGCTGCAACTGTATAGGGCTTTGGTGAGACCGCACCGAGAGTATTGTGTGCAGTTTTGGTCTCCTTATTTAAAAAAGGACATACTTGCCCTAGAGGGGGTGCAGCGTAGATTCAC